AAAATACTGAAGAACTTGTTAGGTGAGCTCCAAAATGTTGGTCAGTCTGAGGAAAGGATTCCACCACCTGATACTATGCAAAACTGTCACATATACCAGAGCATTTTCAACCCCTTGAAGCCACATCAACATCACAGGAAAAAATTATGCTGCTTATATGTCATATTTTAATCTATATGCCATAACTTAATCTTCAAAGCTTATTAGATTGGAAAATAAATCACAGGCTACTGAGACTACTTCTTACAACAATCAAAAGTAAATTCTGCTTTATTATGTATGATAACAAAACAATATAAGGATGTTCCAGGAAAGAAACTCAGGGCTAGGACTATGGTTTTACCTCCATTGAAGATAAAAGGGTGTGATCTCAGCTGATTTAATGCAATTCAAGTTAGTACTGCCTTCTGACAGGGAGGCAGTTCTGATTAAAAAGAGGAACAAAAGAAAGGAGGAAAAGAAATCTCTTAATCACATGCTATTCCCAGAGAAAACTGGTTGGGAATATATTTGTATAAATAGAAAAAAAAATGTGTTTCTTCTATAAAAATCTGCCTTTTAGGTAAGTATTTCTTAAACCATGCTGTACTTAAACAACTTTTTAGCCATGTTTGATGCCAATGGTGTAAACATGATTGTATCTGCAGCATGAGTGGTATCTGCGAGATGAGGAGCGAAAGGAACTTCCTGAGCACTGCACATGCCTAGCCCAGCACATGGTTTGCTCCAGATATCTAAGTAACCCTCTGTAGGACCAGATCACGCATGCAGAGGAGTACAATAATGCAGTTTTAATACAGAAGGGAACATTTGATGATTAACTATTTAAATCATGCATTTAATACATTTTAAATGCAACTTAATTATTTGCTGAGACATCGATGGGAACAAGAGTTGTCATTCTTTGTAGTCCATCTCTAGTGCCAATTTTGTCTGTTTCTAAATTAATTCTAACTATCCCTCTGTTGCCTATGACCAACTGCTCTTAGTCATGGTGTTGATCTGCACCAGCACAGCAGATACCTGGCAGTAAGAGAACAGCCAAGAATTCAAAGGCACACAAGGATTACTGCTCTTAATACTTGTTTCTGTAAAAGCTAAGAGCTACTTAAAAATTCTTTTATCTCACCTTATCTTCTTTTTGAAAGAAAAGGAAATGTGTTGCCAAGTGATAAAATACTGTGTTCCCATGTTTAACGATAGTAGCAAAAGAAACTTACAGTCTGGTTTTAGATATCTGGGTGCTGATGGGAAATTTAATTAACTGTAAAAATAAAACAGAGTAAGTTGTAGCACACCCCCTCTCCCAAACTCCTTTGTGCAAGAGACTAAGTAGATGTAAAATTAGAACCCTGAACAAGAAACACAGGAACATGCTGTTCTTTTATCCATCATCTTAACCCTGCTTTTGAGACATCTATTTAGCATCACAAATACTATTCCTATATTTACATATCAACATTTGAAATGCATATTGTACTATATGCATTTCCCTAGCTGGCAAATTCTTGGAACACTCACAGAAGTAAAGTCTATGAAGAGAAAGAAGGGCTGAGAAGAGATGTCTACCTAAGATTAAATTTCCAAGAAAAGGCAGCAAGAATAAATTTTGTAGAGTTTTGATAAAAATTTTAAGTACAGAAAAACATCACCATGCCAGTAACACCTAGAAGAACTCCTAACTCCAAACATGTCTATGTGTTACGCTGATGAAAAACTCATAAGCAGTAACCATAAGGGAAAGTGTTTGAGGACCAGAAAGCTCAAAATATTCCTGATGCATCTCCAAGAACTGATAAAAATTGAGTGGTTTTGAAAGTTCTAGGCATGTCCTTTATACTTTGCTACCACCATAAAAAATACCTCTTATAAATTAATTTATATATTAATATACTTACAGAGCTAGAAAAAACAATATGCTTTTCTGATGGACTTAGCTTTCTTTAGATCCAAGATCATCAAAGCCTTAGTTTAGCCCAAGCATTGCAAATCAGGCCGAGGAGACCTTCTGAACCTTCCCAGCAAGAAGCCTGTCAGAGAAACATGCAGTGTTGAGAAAGAAGCAACAGATCTGCTGATACTCAAATATAAGATTCAAGTTCTGGCTAAGCAGATAAAGCACACTGCTTCCTCAACGACTTACCATTTTTAAAGCCTTTTTTTTTTTTTTTTTCCCAAATTAAATCAGACATGCCAGCCAGCTCTCTTTTGTAAAAAAGAAACGCCCGTCGGTAGCAGTGGGACATTTGCAGGTCCTACAGCTGCTACAGGCGAAGGCCTGAGAGGGATTAGTGTCAGCGCGTTCACGGCAGCAGCTGTGAAGCTCAGCACATGCGGGGCAGTCGAAAGGCCGAAGCTTCAGCCGTTTCCCGTTTATCTCACGATTTCAGCTCCCTTTGTTAAAGCCCCCCCGGGACGCTGCTTTGGAGGAGCGGGATGCGGAGTGGGATGCGGGGCGGGGCTGGGCGGTGAGGCACCCCCACGGAGCCGCGGTATTCCCAGTTCCCCGGACAGACCTTCCATCCCCAGACCCCCCATCCCCAGACCCCCATTAACCCCCTTCAGCGGAGCCGCCCCCCCTGCATCCCCCGACCCCCTCCGTGCTCCCTGCGCTGCCTCCTCCCCGCTCACCTCCCCCGAACGCCGGGGCTCCCGCAGCGCCGCCTCCGCCGCACCTGCCCCTTTTCGGGCCGCAACCGTGTCTTTTCCGTCAAGGCAACATCACTTCCCGTGAGGCCCGAGGTAGGGGCGGGCAGGGGCCGGGCGAGGCGGGCAGCACCGCCCCGGCGGATCCCGGCCCCGCTCCCCGCGCCGCGGGCACCTGGGCGGGCGCGGCCCCGGCCCGGGGGCAGCGCCGGGAGATGCTCGTCTGTCATTAGCCGGGATGGCTGCTCAGCCCTTCTCCTCCGCCTCGCCTTTCTGGAAGATCTCGCGCCGCTGAATAAAAATTCATGAGAGGCAAAGCAGGTTTTAGAGAGAAAATCCGCGGTGCATGGTTAATGCCCACCACTGCGGGTTTAGTGAGTTTTTCCTGCCGCCTGCTGGCTGCCTGGCTGGCAAGAGTCCTCTCTGCTCTCTTTAGTTCAGCAGTCTCAAGAATCCAGCAATCAGTTGCATCAATAACCCCTTCCATCTGCACCAGACACCCTCTTTCTTAAGCCTTTTCAAAGTCAATTGCCACCTTTATGGACAATTCCAGCAAGAAAGTGCCGACTAGACTTGAGCTACACCTCTACTAAATAACCTTTTCAATATACAGTACTATTGTAAATAAAGGAAGCTGCTGGAGTCACTGCAGTAGTGTTTGCACTGAACTTTGTGGAAGATTTGTGGCATTTACTCATAGAATCATGGAATGGTTTGAGTTGTAAAGGACTTTAAAGACCATCTTTTTCCAAACGCTCCCCATCATGGGCAAACACCTTTTACTAGACCAGGTTGCTCTAAGCCCCATCCAACCTGGCCTGGAACACCTTTAGGGATGTGGCAGCCACAGCTTCTCTGGGTAACAGTGACAGGGCCTCACCACCCTCACTGTAAAAAATTTCTTCCTAATATCTAATCTAAACCTGCCCTCTTCCAGTTTAAAGGTACCGCCCACATAATGTCAAGTCCAAACTAAAATTACTGCACTCAGCTGCACCTCCCAGTCCACCTTCTACTGTCCTCCCATCTCAGCTTCCATGAAGTCTATCCAATGCATCCCGCTATCACATTATTCTTGACTTAAAAGACTTTCAGGGAAAGGATTTCTTCCCTCATGCTGTTCAAACAAGATTCAGTGTCAAAACCAAAACCTGACAGAAGTTTGTCCCAAGAACTGCTAGTTTTGATTTCTTTTTAGATTTACTGAAGTCTTGACATACCTATTGATCTACTTTCCCCAAGTCTCAGATTCTGTTCTGTCAGACTACTCCACACCTATTGCAAGAGTCATACTGTCCTACTGAGCTACATGCTGAGGCTCTTCTCCAAGAATAACCTGGTTTTCGGGCAGACATCTCTTTAACAGCCAGTGTAGCTTCACTGTCAAAAATTAAAGATGTGTATGTGCACGTGTGGTACATGTGTTTATGTACATACAGACAGGTATGACTACTAGCTAAGGACAATGCTGGGTGCAGTTCCTTTCCCAGCCATCCCCACAACTGCATTCCCAACTGACGTATTAAGAACTGAAACCGTGAGAAGCAGATAAAGACAGTATTTATCACTTGGAGGGTCAGATCAGAGGCAACCCAAGAAAACCCATGAAATGTAATTGTACAACGATGCCTTTCTTTCTCCAGTTCCCTGGAGTTACTACATTAATTCAGACGTGAGGACATACTTTCAGACATTCATAACTTTATAAACATGTCAACATTCACATGTCAACACGTCCTTTAAGGCGGGTACCAAACACACACGGGCGCGGGTACGGGTTCAGCAGGCGGGTCGCTCCAGGCGGGGCCGGGCTGCAGCGGCGCTCGGGAGGGACAGTCCCCGGCAGGCCACGGTCGCGGTGACTCCGTTCCCGGTGACTCCGTTCCCGGCTCCGTCTCCATCGGCGGGCGGCGCTGGGGCTGCGAGGCGGGACGCGGGCACGGAGCCAGGGGGGCGGCGCGGCCCACACGGCTCCCTCAGGGCCTCTTGTCCGCGGCGGCGGCGGCGCCCGGCGGCGGCCCCGCGGTGCCCTCGGCGGGGTGCGGGCCCGGCGGCGGCTGGAAGAGCGGGCCGTAGATGTAGAGCCCGCTGGCCACGCCGAGCGCCACGGCCACGGCCACGTGCGGCAGCGGCAGCCGCCCCCCCATGGCCGCGCTCACGGACACGGCTCCTCCGGCCCGGGCAGCGCGGGAGAGCGGGCACAGCGGGGACAGCGGGCACAGGCAGCTCCGCCCCGGCACGGACACACAGCTCGACCCGCCGCCCTCACCTGAACCGCGGGGCGGGCTGCCCGCGGTGCCCGGGCGGAAGAGGCGGCGCTGTCCCGCCCCCGGGTGGCGGATGCCCGGCGGAGGGCGGTTCCCGTCGGGATGCCGGGGGCGGTGCGGCTCCGCCAGCGCCGCTCGGTGCTGTACAGCTCCCCCGGCGGGGCCGCCGCGCAGCCAGGCGCCGGTAAGCGGGGTCGGGATGGGCGGGGAGGGACGGGAGGCGCGGGTCGCACCTCCCGTCCCTCCCCGCCCGTCCCGGCTCCGCAGGGGCCCGTGACGGACCAGCCTCCCCCCGCAGGTGTCGCCGCGCCCGCACCGCTGCTGGCGCTCGCCGTGGCCCTGCGGGCGCTCAACTGCGTCCTCGTCCGGACCAGCTTCGTCCCGGACGAGTACTGGCAGTCGCTGGAGGTGGCGCATCGCATGGTCTTCAAATATCCTTCGCGGGCCGCGGCCCCCGCTCTCCCGGCATCGTTCCCCGCGCACGGAGGGGACGCGGCCCCCGCGGTATCGGGAGCAGGGGAGCGCTCGGGGACAGGTTTGCAGGGTCGGGGACAGGTTTGCGGGCTCGAGGACAGGTTTCCCCCTCCGGGTACAAGTTTCCGCGGCAGTAAAGCGTTGGCTTGACCAGCAATAAACACCCTAAGGCTTCTGGCCCGCAAGGAAATGACCGGGACAGCTCGAGTGAAGCTTTTCGTTTCAGTTATTCGTGATCCTTAATATTAATAATTATGGTTACCTGACTTGGGAATGGGCAAATAGTTTAAGGGGTTACTCGTATCCACTGATCTTTGCAAGCATCTACAAAGCGTTACAGCTGCTGGGCAAGGATGATGTTCAGCTGCTGGTGAGTAAAAGCATTGTATTTAAATACAGAGTATTTTTATCGTTGTCCAGGTGAAGTGCAAAGCCTTGAGTCTGGCAACTAGAGATGAATAAGCAGGTGTTTCCCGTGGAGGCAGAATGCCAACCACAGGACCCCAGTCACAGCACTGATGCCTGCGACTGCAGAGGATTATTCCTGGCCTCCGTCAGTCTCCTGGACTTTCAGACTGATAGGGTTTGCCACTACATCATAATTGCTCAGTGGTTCAGTTTGCCTAAGTGTTTAACGATACATATTTGTACTAAACTCACTAACAACTAACACCATCCCCTTTTGACTTCTATTAGAGATAAATGGCAAGGAATTCTCCTTTCCACCTCTGAATGCTTTCAGTTGAACTTTACATGTTTTGGCAGAAATACTAGTCTTACCCAAGGACCCTTTCTTTTTTACAATCCTAGAAATCTATAGAGAATATTCACTAATCACTATTTTCATACCCGAACAGTCATTCACTAATTCAGTAGTCCTCTCTTAGAACTTGGAATTTAATTTGGTTTGTTGCAAGTACAGTTTTCTCTCTGATCTGCACAGATCTGGGTCCCTAGGCTTGCTCAGGCAGTGCTGGCTGCTTTTGCTGATGTGAAGCTTTACTTGTTAGTGCAACACCTCGAAAATGCAGAAACAGCAAAGTGCGTGGTGAGTCACAGCCTTTAAAAGAATATGTTAATAAACATTGCTTTTGCAATGTAAACAACAGCAAATTGATAAGTCATACCTTGAAGAAGTACCACCTTCATTTAGGTGAACTTGTTTTAACATGTTCATAATTATTTCCAGTTCTTCTGCCAGCTGTGTTCCTGGTTTACATGGTATTCCTGTACCAGAACTCTCACAAACACCATGGAAACTATTCTTACCGTTTTTGCTCTTTCATACTATCCGATAAAAGGTTCCAAGATGGGAAACAGGTGAGAAACTTTCTCCTAACATTACTGATCAATTTTGGCTTGGGGTGATATTGTTTAAAATGCTAACTTTTATCTTGAAACCTAATGCAACCAAAGCCACCTCATTCAAGTAGCAGGAGCTCTAGCTCATGGAAGGAACATTATGGTATTTCCTCTAAAGATTTTTTCGAGGTCATATTATAGCTGGTATGTAAAATTAACTATTCCCCAGTTTCCTTATGCAGAGTATGACTTTATGGGAAGCTTTATTTTAAAGGACTGGAAAATGAGGTAACTTGGCAAAAGATAACAAAAGCTTTGTTGGGGTTCAGATATAGGTGAATGTGTGGTCACAACTCTCTTTACCAGCTATCTATTTTAAAGCAAGTATGTGTTTCTAATTAGCATCTCCACTGCTAATAAAGCAGTTCTATAGTTGCAGCTTTCCAAGTAAAACTGAGTATCTTCAGTGAGAGAATCTAAGTTACCTGTAGTATGAAACCCTTCTGGCCAGAGCCATGACAGTATTTGTTGTTGAAATGTCACTGTCTGCAAAAGAACTGACCAAACCTTTTGCTAAGCTTTTGGGGGTTTTATGTTCTTCCTTCTAGTTGCAAATATTTAGCTTTGGTAGCACTTGCAATTGTTATTCGTCCCACTGCTGTTATCCTGTGGATGCCTTTGGTCTTCAGCCACTTTTTGCAAGAACAGAGGAAAGCAGACCTTATCCTACGAAACTGCATTCCAGTTGGGTAAGTTCTTTCTGAATTTAAACTGTGACTGTGCACAGCTACATTTTAAGATTGGTTTTACTGCTGCAAAGGTTGTCTAAACCCCAAAATGCTGATTCCATCTAAAAAAACATGGGAACGAATAGAGTCTTTTTGCAGAAGTTTAAAGAAGGGGAATGTTTCCTTTAAATTGACTTATATTTTGCAAAATAGCACTAGGAAAGATTTCGTGAGGGTGAGACAATGAACAGCATTCCACCTTAATCTGGGATTGTGCAAAGGGTACCAGGTGATAACAAGTAGCCCCTGTAAAATGACCACGACTATGGACTATCTCAAAAATATTAGGAATCAGGGAATTTTGACAACCATCTGGAGAAGATACAAACGCAATTCAGGCAATATCAGTGCAACGAACTTTCCGTTTTTGCAGATTGGTCACAGTAGGAACCTCTTTAATAATTGACCGTGTGTTTTTTGGTGAGGTAAGCTGTTTTAAACTTGACTTATAAGAAGAAGGCTGGGGTTTAGTATTTTAACACTGATGGATGTTTCAGACTTCTCTTGTTTCTGTGACATTCTCTGGCCTCTGATCTCTACATATATCCTAAGCCACAAACTCTTAAACACTGACTTTACAGTTATTTCAAATGATTGTTACATAAAATCAGTATGTTCAGCTATCAGGAGTTATCAACAAAGCACAAACTTACACACTGCTGTGTTTAACTGCTGAATATAGGAAGTCCATGATGAGTCTTAAGAGGAAAAAAAAAAACACCGAAGTGTGAATGAAAACATTGTATCATTTAGGGCCAGTGTAACTCAATGTAGCTGTTGGTTTTGACTTTGGATTTGTATTTAACTCTCCCCCCATCTCCCAGTGGGTACTGGTTCAGCTGAACTTCTTGAAATTCAACGTGCTGCAGAATTTGGGAACATTTTATGGATCTCACCCTTGGCACTGGTACTTCACTCAGGGACTCCCAGTCATCCTGGGTGCCCACCTGCCTTTCTTTATTCATGGCTGTGTGCTGGCACCAAAACGATACCGCATCTTCCTGGTGGCTGTGATCTGGACACTGGTGGTGTACAGGTAATTTCTCCTAAGTGTAACTACTACCTCTCACTGGCTGTGTTCTTTTGAAAGGTCAAGGCCTCTCCAGAACAAATTAGCACACTATTCAGGGTAAGTGATAGAAACTAAACTATTCAAACACTCCAAGAAATGCAGTCAATTATAAAACAGTTCCTAGAATTTTATGTAATACTACTTGTACTGTTACCACACATGTATTTTTAAAATTGATTAAACCCTTAAAGAATAAAATAATTCAGCATGAACTGCAATGAAAGAGAAAAAAACCCAAACCAACAATCAATCACCTAGCAAGTATTTAAGCAACAGCAGAACTAATTAGGATACTGTGTTTACTAAATGCCTGTTAATGAAAACACCATTTCATTTGGTTGTTTAGTACATCCCCAGTAAGATGAGAGGTTCTTAGGCCTCTAAAATTTACTCCATTCCCAAGTCTACACACAGCTCTTGACTATCATAAGTCTGTATTTCTTATCTTAAGCTGAGAAGTAGAAGGTAAGCTTTTTCTAAAGCATCAGAATTAGCTGTAGATTAAACAGGAGAGACACTTTCAGACAAGAAAAAATACAGTAAATAAATAGTATTAGACTACAGTAGTAACAGAATGCAGCAAAATAGTAGCAAAACCAGAAATGCCATTTCTTCTTACACTCCAGCTCAAAACTGGATGTGGCTCTGTTGGGTTTAGGACTTTTTTACCTCCCTTAGTCTTGTAAGAACCTGTTTGGTTCCCATGATACAAGTTTTGCAATAATGCCCAAAAGCTGACATGGGAAATTGTGTAAAGTTGTATTAGTAGAGGTGACTGTTACTTTGCTAGTACAAATGTGCACTTAGAGAATCTCAGCTTCTCATCCACACTATTTATTGTGTCTTATTACAGAAAACAAATTGGTGAATTGTGAATTTTGAATTGGCAAAATTATACCGAGTTGTCAAAGAATCAGACCACTTAATTGCAAGAGTAGTAGCCAGGTATTTTTATCAGTGGTTGGTTTAAGCTGACTAAATAATCTTCATTTGAATGTACTTATCCTTAAAATAGTGACAATTTGGATTTTTACTCTAAACTGCTTCAATGCCAAAAGCTTTTTAAAACATGCAAGTGCTCTTCTTCCAGTCCTCTGAACTCTAAAACACATTTTGTCCACAGAACTGATGCATTTAACTTCCTTGATGTAGTATTGTTTTATTCCAGCACACTAAGCCACAAGGAGTTCAGGTTCATCTATCCAGTACTGCCATTCTGCATGTTTTTTTGTGGTAAGCATTGGTTTCAAATGTCTTGCAACCTTACCTGTATTCAATTTTTACCCAAAGAGAGAGTATTAACAGTCAATGTAGGTATTTGAGACAGGATTCTTAAGAACCAGCCTAACATTTTCTTACAGCTAGCAAAAAAGAGGGGGAAAAAAAACCATGAGGAAGAGCAATAACCCAGGTGGAGAATCCTTAGCACAGATAAAAGTACTGCCTGCAAAATATGACAGTGGTGTCAGTGACTCCTAACTTTTCAGCACTGCCTTAAAGTGAAATCTTATTCCTTGGCTCTTCGTAGTGTTTTTCCACACAGTTCTTTCCAATATGCCTGAGAAATGCCTTTAATTATGCAATAACAAAATTAAAACACTAAAAATGTAAAATAACTCTTTTCTAGATTCAGATGTTACAAAGGAAGATTAGAACTTCTGGAACATGAAGGAGTATAGCTTTGGTTTAAACACAAGTTCAAAACTGAACACTAATTTTCTTTAACCTGTTTTGCTAGTCTAAACAAAAGTAAATCTTATTTCAATAATTTTGCTCTCTGCTGAGATCAAATATGTAATAAGTCTTGGCTTAGTTCAAAAGCAGCAGGATGAAACTGTTCTAGCTCACATGCAGAACAATTCCAATCAAACCACTATTTGTTGTTAATATTCCTCTTAACCTTCCTGTCTGCAAAGGTCTTGATGCAATTTACTAACAACTCCTTATCATGTTTGGATACTTTAGTAAAGAAAAAAATATAAAAGTTACTTTTGTTAATTCAGTGGTTACAAAAGGTCCTAATTGCTTAAAAGATTATAAATAAAAGCAGAAAAAAAAAACCTATATGAATTTCAAAGTAATTTCCAAGCACACAAATATAAGCTCAGAGCATTTTGCAAAAGCAATTAAAAGAACCCTCAAAATGCCTATAATAGAATGTTTCCACTTGTGTTTAAACCACAAAACTTATTTGTGGACTTTGTTTTCAACCAAGATAAAGACAATTTGTCAGAACAGACCAACTGAAGACTAATTTAATTTGCTTTTTAGTGACTTCTGGAACAGGCCTATTGTAGCTTGTTTCTTGTGATACAGTACAGGTAGTCACAAAGCTATGTAATGTAAATATGTAAAGTATTTTTATCTCCTGATGCTGACAAGCACATGACTTAATAAGGGTTTCCAGACTGGCTGCAACATGAAGCTGTTGTCTGTGCCGTGTTCATCTAAGTTGTGGTGGTGAGAAACACGTTTCTGCAATGATCTCCCACCAGGAGAAACATCTTTTCCCATTATTAGCTCCTTCAAGAAAAGTGGGGGAAAGGGGAAGTGATGGGAGATGGGAAAAAATGGAGGACTGTGCTCTTCCAAGGACAGTAGCCCAAAATTTAATAACAGTAAGGGAATGCTATAGCTTTCAGCATTTTGGAGAAAAAGAATACACAGCCATGCACATGTAGGTACCATTTATTCTGGCTCTACTCAGAGATGCGTGAATCAGAACACAGCAGTAAGTTGCCACATGCCATTCATCCAAACTACTGAATGGACTGGTTTTCACTGTAAGAAATTAAATTCAAAGTCTAAAGAGACAAAGCACTGGTTTTGAAACAGTATTTCTGTACTTCAGAAGACAGGTGTAGGCTTAGGATTACCCTGTTAAATCCAAGAGTTGAAAAGGGCAAAATCTAACCTTTGAATTTCCAAAGAGCAAAGGCTCAAAGAACACTGTAGTAAAGTATCTCAAAGCAGTACTGTTACTGACTGAGTAAGGTTTGCCAGTATATTATGGTACTTTTAAAAGTGTGTGAAACTTTACTACTTGCTAATCTCCCAAACTTACTCCAATGTTTCTGTAGGATATTCTTTGAAACACTTGAAAGCATGGAAGAAATCTGCAGCAAGTTTCCTGCTCTTATCCAATCTCCTCCCAGCCCTGTATACAGGCTTGATTCACCAGCGAGGCACTCTGGATGTCATGAGTCACATACAGCAGCTCTGTCACAACTCTGACCAGTCACAAGCCTTTGTCTTCATCATGATGCCGTGCCACTCTACTCCATTTTACAGGTAGTGAAAGAGTTAACAGTGCACTGTATTCAAATCCATACACTTAATCAGAAATTAAGATTTCTTTTTCCAAAGCTTAATTGAGAAAGATAAATGTATACAGGAAGAGTTTTAATTTTTTGTACAGTTAATACAAAACAGATAGGGGACATAAGCCAAATGCTTATACCACAGAATAAAATTCAGCATCTGAGCTTTATTAATTTTTGTAATAGCTTTGTATGAGGATATGCAGTTAATCTAATGACTTCTCCAAGTACATCACACTGCTTCATTATGGTACTAATTGTTACAATCAAACTGTATTAATTTTACATTTACTTCTGCTGCTAGGCAGTAAAGAAATACAATTACAGTGACTGAGATCACTATTCCAAAAGCTTTGCAGTAGATCCTGGTAAGTAAACAAAACATTAGAGTGAAGCTGATACGGAAAAGTATCTTTTTAAGAAACTGATGTGCAGATGGTACTTTTATTAAGATAAAATTTCTGTGAACTGCAAACAACAGTCACAACAATTTGGAGTTGAATCTGCTTGTTCTACTTTGCTTTCATATGAAGTACTGAAGGGAAGAAAATATGACTGAGGGGAAAAAACCTAATCAATTTTGGTTTTGACTGAGGTATCTTTTAAAGTGATGAGTCATTTCAGTTCTTCTTCATCTGATCAGTTTATCATGAAACGTGTTTTTGTTTTTCTCCCTAGTCATGTTCACTGTCCTCTAAAAATGAGATTCCTTCAGTGTCCTCCAGACCTAACGGGCAGTGAGAACTACACTGATGAAGCAGATGTGTTTTACTCTGATCCACTTGGCTGGCTCAATAAGGAGTTTTACAATGACACGTTATTACCCAGTCACTTGATCCTCTTTAATGTGCTAGAACAGGTATGGTAACTGCAAGATGAAATAAACTACTTTTGAGGATACAAAATAAATTAGGGGAGAATATATAGTTAAGGTTTTTGAAAATTATTTTCCACAACTTTTTAATAAAGCACAGCTTAAATTAAAATTGAACCCTCTAGCACATAAAGTATTGATACCACTCCAGTGATACATACTTAATGTCCATATATGCCCTCACCTCTGTGAGAATTCTACATACTACAAAGTAATGTTTTATGGAATTCTCCTCCATCCCTATTAAAACAAATGTGCCATCTGTTCCCAGAACTTGCACTTTTAAGCAACAACGAAAAGCAAAAATGCCAGCAGTCACAGTACCTTTTACCCCCTCAAGTCTTTAATGAAGTCCATGCACTCAAACAGTGGTGTCTGGTGAATATCCACTCCGGACAGGATCAAACAGGATAGGGACTTCTTTTCCTAGCAGGCTTTCCTAAAATAAAGGATAAAGCTTCCCAGGGACAGTTGAATTGATGGCTTTCAGAAGACTTTGGTTCTTATGCTCCCAACTGCACTTTCTGACTGTAAACTGATGTATGTTTGTTAACAGGAAATATCACCATTTCTAGCTTCAAGAGGCTATGAGAAAACAGCCACTGTCTTTCATACTCATGTGCCTCAAGGACGAGTTGGAAGCCACATCTCTGTTTACAGGAGAAAAGCTAAAATACCTGAAGAGTTTCTAGAACTGAGAGCTAATGAGATCAGTTTTGCACAGCAGTAACTATGCCTAGAAGGAGAGAGTAGTGAGTCTGAAACTGGGTAAGTTGAATGGGAATTCTGATTAGGCAGCCACTGCCTGCCTGGAAACACTGAACGCCTTCCTGAAGGCAACTTCAGTAGCAATAGGGCAGGGTGGGGTTGCTGACCTACCTTACAACACCAGAAAACATTGGGAAGACCAAAGTTACCATATAAATACTTACACAATCAAAAAATAGACAAGATTGGACCATTTTTATAGAACTGTACAGCTATGCTAAGTTTGTTTTATAAATAAAGACTTTTACCCGCAATGTCTCTTTATTTTTCTTCTACAATATGCAGATATGCAAGACATTTCAAGTGTTTAAATCAGCAAGCTGATTAGAATGCAGCACAGCAAATTCTTCACAATTCAACAGGCTCTGGAACCACCCCCCAAAGACAGGAAGCAAATATAAGGTTACAAACACTAACAAATACATCACCACAACGTAGACTTATTTTCTGAAGGATGAGATGAAGTTAGTATATCAAACATTGGAGTTAATAGTTGGTACATTATGCATGGTTCAAGCTTCAGCTAAGCTACTAGAATGCAATTAAGCATATTTTTCATACACAAGTCATTGCATGCCTAGTTTCTGCAACAATACTGCTGGCACCCAAACTGTCATCACTTCCAAAGAACAGTTAAAGCAACGGTACAGAATATGCAAATTAGAAAGCTTGACTCCTGCCTGTTAACAAAAATGTGTAAAAATCAAATTATTCAGAAAAAAAGCTTGCATCTTGCTGCTTTGTTGAAAAACAATTAGTTTCCAGGGAGGGTGTGAATTCTAATCTTATTTTTACAATAAATTACTCAATATTTTGGATCAAAGGGTAGTTGCCCCAATTCTATTTCAAGGTTTGCCATGTGTCTTCCATTAGTGCGACCATGTTTATGCCATTTACCTTCTCTTTTATTACGGTGATGGTACTTCTGAGCTTGTTTTTCATGTCTGGAATTTTCAGTTTGTGTAAAAGAAGGTCTTTTAGGTCGACTGCAAGAAGTAAACAAAAGTTTATTACTACCCTTATGCCAACATCTATCTAAAAGCATTTTGAAACACAACTTCATTGTCTAGAACAGCTTTTAACATGCAGAGGTTGACTGAAAACAAAAATCAGTACTAAGCAGTCCTTTCTCTCGTAAGCAAAATGTGTGAGGGATTTGTTTGTTTAAATCATCAGTAAGGCAGTATATATAAAATAAAGGCTTTCTAAAAATAAAAATGCTCTGCAGTTGGTTGCCCAAAGACCTTTTTAGAATAAAGCCAGGTAAACACCTATTTGATTATTCCTGTGATGGGTTGGGTGAGGTCTCTCAAATCTGCTTTTCAGTTACTCTCTTACACTCTGCTCTACAGAAATAATGAAAACTTTGCAGGCACTGAGGAAAGGATGCTTTGAGTAAAGATGGACACTTCAGAGGTTTTCATGTACAGCAAGTACATTTATACAGAGAAAAGGGGCACTAGCAAAACACTGCTGCTCATGGGTTGCAGGTTTTTTATGCAAACAGTCCCATTACACTACAGGCTGTTACCATATGACTACTGTCTCTAGCCTTCTGCAAGGGTAAATTAGGAATATTTTCATCACACCAACTTTTGTATAATACTATCAGTAAATGAATTTGCACTTGTTTTTCTGCAAACTAAATTCTCAAAAATGAAGTATTTAATTAAAAATTAACATTCATTTTAATAATAAATTAGGAATAGGTATTTGGACTGTAAATAAAAACATAACAGTTATGCATTTGCCAAAACTGCATATTAAAAAGGCTACTTGGGAGCTGATAATAGGATTATCATCCTCATGGCTCAGCTTTGTAGAGGAAAAAGTACTACTTCACATAACATTTAGAAACCTCAAAGTATTTAATAATTCAGACTTCCAGCTGCAATAAAATGCATGAAATAATAAGCAATACAAGCACGAAAGAAACCTGACTGAAGAACTGCACCTTGATCTAAACAGTAAATATGCTTTGCACTAAATACCAACACAAGAAAAAGTGTGTGGCTACAAGGACAACTTCTCACGTGTTATAAATTAGTTCATACATTGCACTTGTTCTTACCTGATCAAAATAAACATTAGTACAAGGGACTATATAGCAAATTTTGTAAGAGAAATGGTAAGTATGTATTTTATGTGGCTTTTAATAAGTGGTCCAGACAGGCCAAGTTCCACTCAATGTAGTGAGGCTGCTTGCTAAACTGTCTGTCACCAAAGTGTCTGCAGTACTAACAGTCCACCACATGTATCAGCTTTGGGCCAGCCAGGCTGCACACCACAAATGCCCTGGGAATACCTTTAGATACAGAACAGTAACACAGGAAACAATTCATGCCAAGGACCTTTGGAAGCAAGTCTGAACAAAATTTAGTCAGGGTCAGGACCTGGACTAAAGCCTGCTATGTGATGAACTCTGCTCTGGGCCTACAGACCAGCTCAGACTAACTAAGCTGCAAAAGCAGTGAAATTCCTGAAAAGCCAACAGGGAATACACCTGTCAGAACAGGACTCAGACTGCTCAAATATATTCAAAAACCTCATTCAGGGAAGGACAACAATAAAATCCTAGTTAACGCTCCTTCCAAGACAGCTATTCATTCCATCAGACAGGCAGTAAGAGCTGTTCAGTCCCACTGACAGTTACAGTGTTTTCTAAAGAACCCAGCAGAAACATTAGATTGTGCTATTTACACACACAAAATTTATATGTAAGGTACTACAGATCCACAATCAAGTATTCCACCGAGTCCTTCAGAAAGTCTTCTAGTGTGTGTCTATCTATAGATATAGACCCTCTTGAAGAGCATCTATGAGAACAAGGACACTGGTTGTCTTTCCAAAAACTAATTCATTGTGTCATCAAGTTCAGGAAACAGAAACAAACCTGGGTCCATACTGGGGTGAATTATCATAGTGAAAGTAGTATCTGTAGACGTATTTGTCCAAATCTTCAAAAACCTTTTCATTATTACTTTGGTATTCCTTCATATCTTCCAGGTAATCCTTGACATCATTGACAAAATCAGTGAACAGCATCTGGTCATGTATAAATAACCCATTATGAAAAAACTTATTGATGAAATTTTCTAGTTCTCTCCAGTGATGAAAGTTATGTACAACTTGCTGCAAATACTTCTTCATTAGCCGATTAAATTCATCCACCCTGATAGGATCTGATACTCTGTTAAAGAGACTAATGAATTCCTGATGAGCACATTCAAAAATACCAGAGCAGCCCTTTGGAACAAAGTGGTGTTTTCTATTACACAAATCATCGAGACATTTCTGAGAATCTGTATCTTTTTCAAATGTTGTAAAATGATGTTTTCTTCCACTTTTGAAATCTTTTGGCATGTTGGGTCCCCTGTAATGTGTGTGCTTCTGATTCTCGTAGGAGTTATGGTCTTGGTAAAAAGTTCGAGCTTTCTTGTTTGCCTCGTATCTTTTATCATTTGATGACTTCTCCTTTTCATCAAAGATGTTTTTTGTGCTGTCTTTGAAGTGTCTGAATGTAGACTTCACGGAATCAGTGAATTTTTTCAAGTTTTCTTTCACTGCTTCTTTAGCCTGCTTGATCTTTTCTTTATGGTGTCTTACAAACTCTTTCGTGGAATTTTTCATAGCATCAAAAGTTTCTTTAACTGAACCAAAAAATGATTCCTTTGATTTCTTTCTAGTCTTACTTTGCCCTTTAGCACCTTTCTTTTGCCAATTTTCATTAATTTCTTGTTTTTCAGTTTGGTCTTTTGCTTCAACATACAGCTTCTCCCATAAGTCAGAGCGCTGTTGCTCAAAGTTCAGCTTTTTCTCTAGTTCTACAAGTCTTCCTCGTAGAGTTTCTATTTCCTGATTTTCTCTTAATGTATCATCATCATCATCATCATCACTAGCACTGTCAGGTGTCTGACGAGAACTTAACTGTTCCAGTTCTTTCTTCAGAGCTTCTGTAACGTGACGTTCTTTGTCCAGTTCTCGCCTTAACATCTGGGCCTCTGCAAAGAGTATTTTCTTTTGCCTGAGAAAATTGGTGTTTCTTTGCTTTTCCTCTTCCAAATGTTCCCTTAGTTTCTGATTTTCCATTACAATAGACTCAGTGCTAGTGCCTTTATCTTCTAAGTTTCTAATTTGTTGTCTTAGCTTCCTTAATTCTTCCTGAAGTGAGGCCAAAGCTTTTTCTTCCTTCTCCAGAGATTCTCTTAAGTGCTGATTTTCTGCAGCAAGGCTTTTTTTTTGGGAATCAAAGGATTTCTTCTCCACCTCATTAAAGGTCAAACATGTGGCAAGATCTCCCTTGAGTGACCAAAAGAAACAAAAAGAAAACAAGCAAAAACACTACAGTGAGAATTGGTACAATTTTACCTAGAAAGATGAAAAACCATGGTAGCCCAAACAGAGTTTACTTGTCACTTTGGATACAGTGAAACCTATCACAGCAAGATGCAAAAATAGAGCTGGTTTGTTTATCTCAGTTCAGTTTGTTTATCACACAAACACTTTCTTGGCAACAAAGACCATGTGAGAGACTCCCTCTTCCAACCAGAGGTCATCATCCCTCCCTTTTAGTGGTTTAACTGGCTGAAGGACAGTCAATTGGGTACATGAACTGTAACATCTTGAAAGGAATTAAAAATGAGCACATTTGCTGTTGATTTATGTTCAGCAAACTGGATTTACAGATTACAAATCCAAATAAATTAGAAGTATGGGCATTCAACAATTGGGGCAGAACTTCATGCACTCATTTTGAACCAAATTAGTGGCTGAAAATACATGTTCATGTAAATGTATTTAAACACAAAAGGATCTCCCCAGTCTGTTGGCATCAGTGACAAGCTCTAGAACATACTGAATTATGTATAAATGCTGTTAACAGCCACATAAAAGAAAACTTAAAAAAAAAAGATACACACATACACAAAGCACTCCCTGATCTTCTCTGTGACTGAAGTAACAGTAGAAAACCAAAAGTACAAGTTAAGTATTTAAAAAATTAATAACCATTGATAATTTAGAAAACAAATGCACAAAACCTGTAGGTTCAGCCTATAACAGGTTTTTACCAGCATGTTCTACTTCTGTCTTCATTAATGACAATCTGGCATTATGTCCCAGGAGACAAAAACTTAACAGATTTGTGTGATAAATTAATTTCACTTTGTGTAAAATACACACATAATGACAGAATAATGCAATGACTTCCAGTTAAGCTCAAACCTACCCCCACTTTATGGTGCACTTGATCTCC